CCTTCAAAGTGGGGGGCTAATGTCGAGTCCCGTAACGCTCAGCTTGAACGAATCGTTTCTGTTGACTACATTAGTAAAAGTACACTAAAAAGCCAAGCGTGAAAGCAACCATACCTCGAGTAACTTCCAGCGACATCTAGGTCCAATCTGCCCCTCAAGCAATCATCAAAGTCAGCTGCGACCATCATCATGCTATCGTCATCCTCCCACAGAGGCCCTTTGAGTATCTCTCCTAGCGGAGATATAATGCATGAACCACCTCGGGACACAAAGTCTTCGCTTTCAGCCTTCTCCCCGTAGATCCAGGCCGGCTGGTTTTGTTTCTTCAAGCATTGGTTCGCACTCAGGACGTAGCATCTCCCCTCACAAGCTACGGTCGTCATGAGAGCCGACCAAGTCTCACGCGCGTCCGCTGTCGGCGCCAGATAGAGGTTGACATTCTGGCTGTAGAGAGAATGACGCAGTAGTGGCATGTAGTTCTCCCAGCAGATTGCGGCCGCCAGCGTGATATGGACACCCTTGATGTCGGTTGTAACAGCACGGAGCGAGGACGGCTGTCCCTGACCCCAGATCAGGCGCTCGCTTCCAGTCTGATAATCGTAATTCAGCCTCTCAAGTTTGGAATGATCAGCATGAATCTTAAAAGGGTAAACTTACTGGCATCACCTTTCGCCTCTTGCCAATTACTGGTACAATGTTAGCTCCTCCTAGTATCCCTGTAGCTTCAATACGCGTAAGACCCACCTCCCAACTTAGGACAAACATAGACAACGGCACAGTACAAAGTACCACCAGACCGCTCAACTAACCCCGTAACAATGAAGATCCCCGTCTCTTTCGCTACCTGTTCGAGCTTCTCTCGCGTACCGTCGCCCCGCCGCACCCTCCCTGAACTTCCTTCCTCCTGCCCCTCCAATTCCCTCTTCACCCACTTTTCTCCCGCTCCCTCGGGCGTATCACCTAGGTCAACGGCATCCTTGTAGTAGTTGAGATATTGCTCTCTGCCCTCAGCTGTACGGCCTCCCACGGCAGCACCGAACGTGGCGCCTCGTGGGTAACCACCGATGTAGGCCTCGGGGAAGAGAATCAAATCTGGCGAGGGATCTGCCTTTGAGGCTTTGAGGCACTGCTCCGACAGCGCCTCGAGCGTCTCCGCAGTGGTGGATTGCGTGTGCTTTTGGCACACAGCGAGGTAGATCGGTTGGGATGGAGTGGCCATTTTCTTCAGCTGTTGAAAGGACTTGTCCCGTGCACTGATAATGATTTTAAAGAACTTTAAATTGAATATAGTACGTGGTTTGTTATTCGAGCTTCATATACAGAGGGGCAACATCCAAAGTTATACACCCATCGTGAACCGTGCCACAAGAAGAGCCCCGCGGCTCGCAACCTGTAGGGCGCAAATCAATACAAGACCCCGCTTAACGCACCACAGCGATTTTGCCCCGACCTCACAAATCCTCAGGGTATCGGCAACAATTCATATGGGGGTTAGCATCATCTGAAAGGATGCAACGGCGAACGCCGTCAGGCCCCCCGGGCCTCGTACCCGTTGACTTGACCATTTGACAATTTCGGTAGCGATCTCTGTTCCTCCACTCGACCCCATAATACTAAGACTCAAGTTTGACGGGTATGAACTTCACTCTGCTAACTGTTTTCTACCCCACGTCGCCTTCTGCATAAGTAGTTGGTACGTACGGGCCGGGCGGCTAGATGCGTGGCGTCGGCATGCATCCATCCCACATCTGCATGCAACGGTTGCATGCAAGCGAGGAGGACCCTTGTTGTTCCTCTTCAGCTCGGAGATGCGATAGCCTCCGATGTCGTTGAGGATCGGCATGAAAGAGTGATGAGACTCTTACATGCAAGAGATGACAGTTGTTGGCGAAACCACGTGAATGGGAAGAGTCAGTAGTTGGAGGAATAATACTAACGAAAACAAATAATAGAGGGGATTCAATATGGTTATTCATCTGGGTACTAGTGTGCTGGTTGCAGGCTTGAGTACCGCTGAGTGAATGAGAAATGTTATTGGGCTTGCGTTTATGGGAGTATGTGAAGAGACTGAGTACATTTGAAATATATGTTTTCATTATGTGGTTGTAGTTAGTTATTCAGGGTACAGTAGTAGTAGCTAAGAGCTTCGCCTCCTACTACAGGGGGGTGACAAAAAAAAAACGTAGTTAAAAAAGTAATAGTTTTTAAAAGATGATAACTCAGCTTATAGAGCACCTATACTTAAACGGGTTAGTCCATTGAAAACTAGATATCAAGGAGTTTATAATGACTATATTACGTAATGCTTAGTAAGCTTATTCCTGGCTACAAAACATGCTAAAGTTCGAGAAGTAATTTTTCTAGATTCTAACTAAATATTTCGCGCTGCTATTTTTAGATCTTATATACTAACAAGTGCTATATATAGTTAGATTAGTGAGATATATAATATATATTAAGATAGAGATATATTATCTATTAATTTTTTGTGATATAAAAATACTTTGTTTTAAAACAAGATTATTTCTATTATCTTTGTAATGGGCTGCGCCCGTGGAGTGAAAGCACGTGATTGTATCACGTGCCTACATCACGTGCC